TCGTGCCACGGACAGGGTCACGCTTTTCCAGCACGACACGACACGAGCACGGTGCAAAGCCCGCGTGCTAGCCCGCGTGCCGGTCTGCTAGGGACGACTTTCGTGCCGGCCCGGCACGACCCGTGGGCCAACAGAAACAAACGGCTATAATGCCGTTGCCCAACAGCCATTCACGGCTAATTTTTTCCCATTTTCCTCCCCAAATTCCCTATAAATACCTAATTTCATTCACTTCCCAATTCACAATCTCTTCTTTTAATCTCTTATATTCTCTAATAATCCTTAATCTCTTATATTCTCTAATAATTCTCTTAAATTCTTTAACTATTATCTCTTAATAACGAAAAAACTAAAAGTTCGTAATCGTTATTAGTGGAAAGCGTTGAAGCATGGTTGTAAGATCTAAACTAATCTTTAATTTATTATTGTTGTTATTGTTATTGTTATAATTATATTAATTATTATTATTGTTATTATTATTGTTATAAATTTTGTTATTAATTATTATTATTGTTATAATTGTTGTTAGTAATTATTATTATTGTTATAATTATTGTTAAAATTGTTGTTGTTAATTATTATTATTGTTATTGTTATTTATATGGCATCACCTAACACAAACAACCCATCATCATCTAGGAAAGTCCAATTTGTCCGTGGTAATAGGTCTAGAGAATCACCTAATCCAATTAGCCCCTCAATTCCAAGTCCGACCAATGACCCCGGTCACGTCCCCCAAGATTTGATTAATTTAGGCACGATGGTTCTTCCGGTTTTCAATCATATAACATGAATAATATGAATATGCCCAATTTTCCACAAAACCAATTTCCACCACCAAACTAATCTCCACAATTCGGTCAATTCCCACCTAATTTCTTTGACCCACAAAGTTTTTATTCTAGCCAAGGTAGCCCACAAGATATCCCTAATGCTTCCGGTTCTACTGCTAACCAACAAACCCAAGAAACTACAAACACCCAATCCCCATACACACAAGACCAATGGTTAACCGAAAGTGAAATGGTTAATATTAAAAGCCTTAAAAGTGATGTTTGGAATTATTTTTTGCCAAATAAAGACCAAAAAAGAGCATAATGTAAAACATGTGGTAATATATACTCGGCACAATTCAAGTCCGGTATGGGACACTTAAGTAGACACACGAGAACTTATGAAAAACTAGCTACTGACCCAGCCCGATAAAAAATTTCCCAATTTCATCCACACGACTTTACCTACAACTATGAGAGGGATAGAGAAAAACAAGGAAAAATGATAGTACACGCCGAACAACCTTTTCTTTTCTCCGAAAGTGACCTATTTAACACTTACAATAACAAAGCATTACAACCCTACCATAAAAAAATCTCTAGGAAAACAGTTCGTTCCGCCGCCATGAAAAACTTCCAAGAGTAGAAAATGCGGTTACAAGACGAATTGAGCAACCTTAATTGTAGAGTGTCTGTAATCGCCGATTCTTGGGATAGTGGTTATAAATATTACTATTTATGTGTGACTTGTCATTGGGTAGATGATCAACAATTGTTGCAAAAATGAATTATTCATTTCAAAATGCTTGAATACCCCCACATCGGTATTAACATTGCTCACCACTTAATGGGAGCGATAAATGAATATAACCTTGGAGAAAAAAATCATGTCAATAACATTTGACAACGCAACCTCAATGACATATGCTGCTAATTATGTCAAACAAAGTTTAACTAATGTAATATTAGGCGGTGACGCACTCCATACTAGATGTGTTTGCCATGTTCTTAACTTATGTGTACAGGATGAAATTCGAGCAATTGGTCCATACTGCAACAAAATTAGAGATGCTATTATGTCTATTAATATCTCAAACATGAGATACGAGGAATGGAAGAGATTTTTTAAAACAACAAAAGATAAGAGCAATAAAAATCAAAACCGATTGCCCAACTAGGTGGAATTTCATCTATGACATGTTAACCAAGACGATTGAGTGTAAGAATCAGTTAACAATCTATTACAACAAAAAATTTCCAAACAATGCTATATATGAGAATGATTGGGTTAAATATGAAAGATATATGCAGTTCTTACAGTTATTATAACATGACGTATTGTTTTTCTTCTGTTTATAATCCTTGTGCTCATAACTTTCTTTCAAATGCATTTTTACTTGCCTAACTTTTCGCTGATCATCGAAACGAAAGTGATTATGATCGGTATCTTCCAGCAATGGAAACAAAGTGGCGTAAATATTATAGTGACATTTCCTTAATTTATATTTTTTCTTCAACATTAGATACTAGGAAAAAGTATGAACATACATTTATGTTAGTTGAAATTTATTTTCAATGCATGCATCTTGACGATAATGTAGAAACCTATAAGAGTAATGTCAAGGATTAGTTTTTTTCTTTATATAGAGTCTATGAAACTAAATATGGCACCCTTCCTCGCTCAGCCCCTTTTCAACCATCCAAAAACGTAAGTAAGAAGGCCAAACATTTATTTTCACAAGCTACTAACTTGATTTCAAGGTTTTCAGGTGATTCATCGATAAGGAGAACGCAAAGCGACATCTCGGAGTTGCAAATGTACCTGAGTTACGACTTCACCAAGGGCATGGACGACGACGAGATAAACAACCTCGACCTCCTTGCATGGTGGAAACAACAGAGCACGAAGCATCCAACTTTAATTTGGCGGCCATGGCACGAGACATTCTTGGTATCCAAGTCTCATCCATTGCCTCGGAACGAGCTTTCAGCGCATCCGGGAGGGTTTTAGACGACATAAGAACAAGTCTATAACCCGAAACACTTGAAATGTGCGTGTGCTTCAAGGATTGGTTAGATGCTGAAAATCACACACAAGACCGTTCTTACAAGGACAACGACTGCGAAGCAGAAACATCCGCCTCGAGCCATTCGGGTTCGGCTAGTTCCCAATCTATTCGACTAGCTGATGACCTTGAACGAGAAGATGAAGAAGAATAGATTACAATTTTTGTATATTGTACGATTTTAGTCATTATCAACATTATCATTGTACGATTTTTATCATTATCCAATTTTTATTTAATATCCTTGTACGATTTTCATCATTATTAATCATTGTACAATTTTCCCAAGTAATAATAATATGAAATATGCATTATTCACATCCAAAGTCCAATTTCCTTTTTTTCTCGTTAAGTTATAATTTGTAATAAATATAACAAAAACAAAATTATAATAATTAGTAATTAATAATACAAAATATATATAATAAATTATAAACATTAAACTATAAAAAAATAGACTAATACTATAAAAAAACTATAAACTAAATATATCTAAATATTAAATAAAAATAATAATAAAACATACACATTAAACTTAATTTATTAAACTTAAATAAAAAATAATAAGTTATAAGTTATAAACTACTGAAATAAATAAATAAAAAAAAAAGGCTAGCCCACCAGCACGCAGGCCAACACGGTACGAGCCCGGCTGGCACGGGGGTCGTGCCGTGTCGTGGGTTGGCCTGCTACTTTGGGTGGCACGGCACGACAGGTAAAGGTGGGCACGGTGGCACGGCATGGCTCGTCGGAGACCGTGGCCCGCCAGTCACGGCCCAGCACGATTCCCACCTTTAATGGAGAGCACGCCATTGTAAAGAACGAGAGAAGAGGCGGTAGTATATGGCGGTGACTCGAAGAAGAAGCCCAATTGTATATATCGAAAATTGTAACATATATTGGTAATGTGTATTTTTGTATTGGTTGGACTTTAGATCTAATTTTTCATCTCAATATTCAGAAATTTTCCGATTTCCGGTTTTGGAACCGGTTTCCAGCGGTTCCGGTTCCAAATATCAAATGTTGGGACCCAGTTGTTACCAGTTTGGGGTCAGGTTCCAAAAATCTTAGAACTGGTATTAACCAGTTCCAAAATCGGGTCTTTAGTTTAACAATGGGTACCCGGTAATACTCACCCCTAATTACAATTGTGAAGACAATACTCCTTTGGTCTCTCCTTGGATCCCAGTAAACCATTACTTTCCTTGAATCTTCGTGGCTCCTATGGCCTCCTTCAGTCCTCGAAATTTATGCTAATATCCTTCATCCACAAGGTAATCCTTTTCTCGTCAAAAAAGAAAAGAAAAGAAAAAAAAAAAAAAATTGGTAAGCCTTTTACCGTTGATTTTTCAGCCATTCTATTTCTATGTTGAATTTTCTCAATTTCCTTCCTTTATTACGGGGTCAACAAAATATCTTTAATAGTTTTTTGGCATTTATAAAAGTTATAATAAAATGAAAACTACGAAATATTGAATAACCTTTTAATATATTTCTTATTATGATATTAATTTAAGAATGTATGTCAAAATCATACATTGATCGATGATATTTTTACGTGCGACTTTAGCCTTATGTTATAAGGAATTCTTCGGACATCCCAAAACCGTATTGAAACTAATGCAACTAATGCTTAATCTAATAAATTAATGATCCTTAAGGACCTTAATGATGAACGACCAATGATATGCAATATTCTAAAATTCCTTTTTCAAAAATATTTGAAATTGTATGTAACGCTTCGGGGGCGCTTGTTAGCTCTTTCTATAAAAACTTTAACTATTTTACAGATTTTGCAAATGCTAATTATACCTTTTGTTAATGGTATATTAGTGAGTGTTGATATGAAAAATCTAATTAGTTTATATTGTTGCGAGTATTCAGTATTCATTACTAGAATGAATGAGACAGATAAAGTTAAGTTTATTGATCAGTAATTGCGAGGAAGTAAGCAAGAAAGCCACATGCAACCAACACATTGAAGGACGACCATACGTACATGACGAGTGACCCATGCAAGACTCACTAAATTGCATTGACTTAGTTGACGGGGTCTTCCAATTACTTTGGTCCATTCATTCTATACTAGATAGTACATTATTGGTATTCGTTTAAATGCATGTTATATGTCACATTGTCACACACTCACACTACATACCTTGCTATCATATGCCTAAGTAAACACAAAAAATGGTGAAAGGGGTATCAAGAAATTTGGGTTATTATAGGGTACTAATCTTTTTCATCGATATGATGGTGGCAATGTTGCCGTTTAGCCTCCAAATAGTGTCGGAAACAACTGTTTTTAATACTTCCTCACAAATAGCTATAGCCCTACCTAATTGCCCCGAAAAGTGTGGCGATACCCAAATACCATATCCGTTTGGTATTGGGGAAAATTGTCACTACAAGCATCCTAAAGATGGTATTTATTATAGTGTCACTTGTAACACAAGTACAAGTCCTCCAAGTTTAATTTATGGTGATAGCCTAGAAGTAACCAATATTACGCTAGAGGGTAATATCTGGGTACGTAACTTTGTTGCATACGATTGTTTTAATTATACAGAAGAAATGCATTATAAACAGAATACCTCTGTCAGAATGAATAGATTTGTTGTCTCAACCACTCAGAATTCACTTGTTGCAATTGGTTGTGATACTTATGTATGGTTCAATAGTGTAGGTATTACAAATTCATCAACACAATACCATTCCGGGTGCATGACTACGTGCAATGAGGAACAAGGAAATAGTGTGGGTAGTATGTGCTCTGGAATTGGTTGTTGCAGGGCCTTCATTCCAAATGGAGTGTACAACGTCAGCGTACAAGCCAAGAGTTTCTATAATCACTCGTATGTGGTAGATTTCAACCCATGTAGCATTGCTTTTGTGGTGGCAAATGATGCAATGCCCTCTCCAAAAGAGTATCTACCCAAAAATTTTGCATATGTTGAAAAATTAAAGCTTCCAATGGTCTATAATTGGTCAATTGGAACAAAAGATTGTCTCACTGCGCAAGCAGCCGAAGAGCCAGATTACATATGCAAGGGAAATAGCACGTGTGTTGACTTGCCGGACGAACGGGGCTACCGCTGCCAATGTAAGCCTGGGTTCCAAGGGAACCCCTACCTTCATGGTTGCCAAGGTATACTTTCAACCTATCCTTTTTGTAATCTTTTTGAAAATAATTATTCATTCCGTCCTTAAATAAATGCACACTTTCTTACTTCCTCTGTGTCACACTTAACAAATACTACTGTTTTTTTTTCTTTTCAATTTTTTTTTTTTGTTATTTTTTTAAAGTGTTATACCCTTTTCGTATCGTGATGAAACTCATGGTTAGTTCTTCATGCAAACCCACGACTACTTTTGTTATTACTTTTTTTTTCACATCCCTTATTTTTCATTTAATTATTTCATTTATAGTCTTATTTCATATATTTTTTTTTTATATTTCAACTACCTTAGCTCACCTACACATATTATATTAAATTCAATTAATTTACCTAAAATATTATACTGATAAAAGTGTAATACTAAAAAAAAAAAATAGATGGAGTATATATTACATGTATTTTTTTTAAAACTCGTCTTGTATACTATTTTGATTAGTTTCCAAATAATTGTACGATCTGTTACCTTAATTAACTAGAATTATTTTCCTAATCAAACTCATAACTATAAGTCTATAACCCATGTAAATGGATCCTACCACTAATTATCTCACTTCCAGTCTTCCACTTTCATTTTTCTTATATACTTCGTATATGATTTGGAATCCTGCCTCTGCCTCCATAAAATCTCTAACAATTTTCTTTTTCATCTAAACTTTCACTATCTATACATCAATCAACTGACACCACTGACCACCCTACCTTTTATTTCTCAAAAGTATGCGCCACCAAGCCAATAATTGAAGGACAATAATTTGAAAAATAAGGAAGTAATACTATGTATATAGCTTTTTTTTTTTTTTTTAAATACGTATGATATCTAATTCTATTTGTGGCACTTCATATTTATTATATTGGGATTTTTTTACCATATAATACATTCTAGTTGTGGCCCTTCATTTAATTTTGGGCAATATAGTTCTACTTTTTTCGTATGATGATGAAGTAACTCCTTAGTTAGTACCTAAGTGTTGAAATTACTATTAATTTCGGGAAATTTCTTGTTTCTCATGGGGGCATATTCGTGAATAAATTAATAAATTTTTCATTATTTTGGGCTCTATAAATAAAGTTGAATAAAGTTGTTGGTTTATTTTGTTTCTCACTATTAAAAACTGGGTCTCCCTCATTGATTTCCATACATTGAGCAAAGGGCCACAACTTATACGAAGTATTATGAAATACAATGTACTCTCTCTATCTGAAATTGTTTATCTAAATTTAAAATAATAGTCATTCGATATTTCCTAGTACGGTGACATAGTCGATTCTTTGGTTGATTTCTTATCCAGATATTAATGAATGTAAAGGAAAGCATTCGTGTAAATCACCAGCATTTTGCGTCAACACCGACGGAGGTTATGATTGCTTGTGTCCAAAAGGCTACAATCGCCGCAATAGTACAAATAAAGATCTTTGTATTCATAATACAGGAAGCATATCAATTATAATCATCCTAGGTAAGTCCATTCATCTCAATGACTTACATTGTAACAATTTCATTGATATTACAACGTACTCCAAAGTTAAATTTATGATACTGGAAAATATCTAAGGTGAATTTCACGAGATATTACTTTCTCCATCTCTAATGGTTGTAGATACAAAGACCATTAACATTATTAAACAAATTCTTTTAATACATTTGTATTGTCGGTTACAATATCCATGCCCTATAACGCTAGGCTTGAAATTTCAGTGGACTTATAAATGACTATCATAATATAATTTTTTTATTAGCTGATTTTGATTTATTTTTTAATGTCAAGGTCAAATATAAATCATATGTCTAAGTTTTAATTTTGAAATATTTTTTGATTTTTTTTATTTTAATAATTAATTAACAAAATTTAATTTTTATTATTACTAAAATTAAAAATAAATTCATGAATTAACTCTAAAAATATAAAATAAATAATATTAAATTTTAAAAATAAGAAGAAAAAAAAACATTTATAATTGTTTTACAATTAAAAATCAACTAATAAAAAATTAGTATAATGACATTCATTTAAGGATGACCACCATAGAATTTTTATATCAAAAGATTTAAATATATATTCGTTTATTAACCTCGTTATGCCTTTATCAATGAATGGTTTAGGTGTTGGAGGTGGCATAATTGCTTTCTTCATAGGTGCGTTATGGCTCTATTGGCAGCATGGGCAACGGCAAATCAAAAAAATGAAGGAGAGTTTCTTTTATCAAAATGGCGGCCACATTTTAGAGACTAAACTCAAAAGACGAGACATATCCATGGGAAGCATTGTTAAGATGTTCACTGTAGAAGAGATTAAGAAGGCTACTGATAACTATAGTGTAAGCAGCATCATAGGCCGAGGTGGTTTTGGCATGGTTTATAAAGGTATATTAACGAACAACCAAGTAGTTGCCATCAAAAAGTCTCTCAAAGTAGATTCTAGTCAAGTTGAGCAATTTATCAATGAAGTCATTGCATTGTCTCATGTCAACCATAAGAATGTGGTAAAATTATTAGGGTGTTGCTTGGAGACGGAAGTACCATTACTCGTGTATGAGTACATAAGAAATGGTACATTGTATGAGCATTTACATGATGAACATAAAACTCGTTTACTAACGTGGGATGTTCGATTGAGGATAGCTACAGAAGTTGCCGGGGTCTTGGCATATTTACACACTATGACTACTATACCGATTATTCATAGGGACATAAAGTCTATGAATATACTTTTGGATGAAAATTATATTGCAAAAGTTTCCGATTTTGGTGCTTCAAAGCTTGCACCAACAAATCAAGATCAGTTAGCATCAATGATTCAAGGAACATGCGGTTATCTTGATCCTGAATACCTTCAAACTGGTGATCTAACTGAGAAAAGCGACGTTTATAGCTTTGGCGTTGTTCTTGCCGAGCTACTAACTAGGGAGAAGGCGCTTTCTTATGAAAGAACAGAGGATGACAAGAAGTGTCTCACGTCTTATTTTCTTCGTAATCTTAAGGATGATCGCTTGTTGGAGATCCTCGATGACAACATAAAGAGTGATGGAGCACTAGTGCAAATTAAGGAAGTCGCAAATCTTGTAAAAAGGTGCTTGAAAGTGAAAGGAGAGGATCGTCCGACAATGAAGCAGGTTGCAAGAGAGCTAGAAGATATCAAAGAGATAGGCTCACATCCGTGGTCGGACAAACGTGGAGTACTACTTCAAAAAGAGAGTGAATATTTGGTTGGTGAGATACAAGTTAACAGCAATGACTACAACAACAGCATCACTGCTATGAACGATTCTTCTTCGAATAGTCAGAGTAGAGTTGTGTCATTGGTGCCTTTGAATGATGGGAGATGATCATTGTGCTCACAATAAGAATTTGAGGGATTTTTTTTTTTTAATGGATTGAATTTTAGATTGGAAGACATTAAACATAAAGAACCAATATTATTGAAATATTCGATTAGTATGTATAAAATTATCCATACTTGTGTAATGACATTCATATTTACTAATTTACAAAACAAAAATGACTAGCCGAACCGAACCGAAGTATCATCCCAATTGAAAAATACTCCAACAATCTCATTACATACAACTATAATGACCCAAATTTAATTTTAATGGATCAAAACTAACCCATACCCGAACCAAAAGTCTTCAAACATGACCATAATCTTATTGGATGATTTGGATCTAAATAACAACCCTATTTGTCACTTCTAAATGTATGTCTATTAGGTTAGGTCCCGTGTCATGCACGGTAATTTTCAATAACTACTCTATAATTATTAACTTTATATTTAAAAAAAAAATCTATTTAAGTTACTACTTTGTAAAATGAATTAATTATGAAAGAGTCTATTATTAGCAAAATAGATAATTTAAAATACACATATACGTATATTTATATATATTTCACTAACTAATTTATATCATTTCTTCTTTTAACCAAATGAATATCTTACAACTATGTATTTAATTCGTAAGTAGATTTACTTTTTACACACTATTAATCCATTCCCTCTTAAGCGGTATTTATTTTTCTTCTCAATAATCAACTAGCTTAGAAAAAAATTCGTATCTTTCCTAACAAGCTTTTCAAACATAATTAAATACAAAAATATTTTTTTAAAAAATAATCCTTCTTGCAAAAATGGTAAGAGTAGTATGTAGCACTATGTATGTCACAAATTATGCTAAGAATTTGATTCTTTTTTTTATTTTTTAACTTTAACTTATGGTATCAATATATATAGTGGAATGATATATTAAATTTTTTTAATATTTGATTTATATATAAGATTTGTTTCCTAAATACCTTTTTTTTTTTTTTTGACACACCAGAAAATGACACGTGTCATTGCTGGTGTGTCTTTTAGTATATAGTTACTGATACTAATTATAATAATTAGACTTGTCTAAGATTGTACTTGAATTTGCAAAGCGGATCCAAATAACTAGAGAAAAAGGAGCAAAGCATTGTTACAAATAATATATTGTTACATCCAAAATTTAATTCTTCATACTATACGTTCCTATAATTTACAATTTACATTTAATACTTCACAAAATACTGTTACAACAATTAATATTTAAGGACGTTTTACAAATATTTCTTTTTCTGTGCATGCTTTCTCTCTATCTCTCACCTTATCACATGAATCTCTATTTCTATTTCTCTTTATCTCTCCCTCATCTTAAAATCACTGTAATACCCCTATGTTGCAATATTAAGGGACATAGAAATTAAATCTCATAATTAAGGTCTTATACCCAAAAAAACAAAAAAATTAATAAATAAATAAAATAAAAAGGCATGCATTCTCAAAGAGGAATTTAGAAAAACAAATTATATGAAAAAATAGCGTAATAAATGTAAATTTAAACTATACCATTAACTACACAAAGACGTTATTTAATAATTTTCTTTGAAAGGAAGGCCCTTGCCATACTGATTTGGATAAAACTTATGAAGCAAAAAAGTCAGATTTGCTCGGTTTTAGGTTAGAATTAGGAAAAGAAAAATTGGGATAACAACACGCCACTATATCTTTGCTTAACAAAAACATCAAATCTAGTCAAAGTGGCATAAATAAATAGTGTAAAAGTCAAATTTTTGCAACTAAAACGAAGGAAATATAATAAAATTCGTAAGTTTTAGTTTGTTTTTGTAGTTGTTGCTAAAAATTTTAAATATCATCAGATACTAATGATAAAATTAATTTTCTTTTCCTTAAAAATAGGGACATTACTATTTATTTATTTTTTGAAGGCAAGGGACATCACTAGTTAGATTCTTCTAAACGTCTACTTTTCAAAATTCAAATTTAAATACATTTTTTACATAAAATGACAAATGATCAACGAAAATAAAAGGAGGGAGTATGGATGTACAAATATAAAGTTATGCCAACGTAGTATTCTTCAATTATTTGATACAAAATATTATTTAACTTTCATGCAATTAGAGAATTAAATTTGAATGTTTTTGGTACTAGTTGTGGTTTCGCGCGCTACGCGCGCGGCACCCCAATGGCGGTGATTGTTGTTGGTGGATACTGTCTTCGGTTTTTTCTACACGGTAATTCGGTTTGCGTATAGCGTGTTTCGTAAGAAGTTTAAATCACAAATTATGCTATACCAAAGTTGTATTAAATCTTATGTTAGTGATTATTATTCGACGAAACACGTGTACATCGTAGTCGAGGCAGACAACACTGAAGGTTGAACTTGTTAGCCGAGGTTATCAGTGCCGCATTTGAACTTATTAGCCAATGTAAAGATACGGCCAAATGAAGTTACTCATAATCTCTGAAAGTAAAGTTTAATTTAACTTTTTAGTAAAAATAATCTAAGAAAGTAGTGTATGTTGTGATCATGTTACAATTACTATCTTTGTTTGATTTTGTATTAGAATTATTCTTGAAACAATGTAAGAAAGTAATATATGCTGTTGAGTAATGCCGAAACTTCTAGTTGTATAGTATGACAGATACCTCGTCCTCGTAAGTATTTTGGCTTACCACTTGCAAATTAACTTCGAGCTGTTTTAATAAACGAAATGTTAAAACAATAAACGTTTATTAGTTCAGGAAGTGGCTTATGTGGATTCTGTCTTCGGAGGCTCCAAACAACGTTGACATTAAGCCGAAGTAATGGAGTTACTGTAAATAACCCAAAAACCCAAGGATAAAATGGTCCGCACACTGTAGTTACTGTTCATGAGCATAGGAATTGTTCATAAGAGAGAGGGGGCAAATTCTCCTCTTAAGAGTTATCTCTTATGAACAGCTCCTCTGCTTAGGAACAGCAACTTCTTATGAACAGTAAGTATAGTGTGCGCACCATTTCACCCTCGGGTTATTGAGTTATTTACAATAACTTCGTTGCTTTGGCTTCAGTTTCGGCTTTGCCTTTTTCCTCTTTTTTTTTTCCCTCTATTCTTCCTTTCTCCCTCTTCTTCTTTACTCATTCTGAGCTCCTTTTCTTTGCTCTTTCCCCTTTTCTCTCTATTTGTTTCACTTGATTCAATCTCAATTTCATTCTCCATACATCCTTATTCTCTTTCTCTCTCCTCCATGAGCAGCGTACATGCTCATTGTCAAAATCTTTGTATAAAATTTATTTTCCACCTTAGTTATTAAATTCTTCTACTCTAAAATGAAATCCTCTTTTTCTTTATTGAGTCCCTGAACTATTTCATCTTTCTCTGTCAAACTTCTCCATTATTGCTTCTGTGAGACCTCCGTAACTTTTTCAATTATGGTCTAAGGAGGTTTTGAGGGACAAATGGGAACGTTCGAGAGATAAAGATGAATTAATTTAGGAACTAAACAAAGAGAAAGAGGATTTAGTTATAGAGCAGAAGAATTTAATAACTAAGGTGGAAAAAGCCAAAAATTGGTTATCTAAATTTGAGTGAGACATAAAAAAAATGATGTTCTTGGATATCGAAAAGAGGTGCTACATTTACAAACACCCAGTGTGGGAGAATTTGGATTCTGATTTAGAGATAATGGACTTTGTTTTGTGTGTCATTGTTGAAAAGAATGAAGCTTTTAGGCGTAGATGGTGAAATAGGTGGAGACAGAAGATAGAGAAAACGGTGGCTTAAATAATGGATGAAGTGATTAGGTTAAGAGGAGTGAGAAGGTGAATTGGTGGAATGAAGAGGCGTGATTTGACAATTCGATGAATGAACACAATAAGTATTAAGTATATATGCATGCATCTGGCAATAGGGATGCGGAAAAACACTTCGAAAATTGGAAAGTATAAATATAAGAAGTTATTTTCAAAGAGTATTTTTCATAATCTTATCTTAATTGATAATAAGTATCTAAATATTTAGTTTGATATAGATATAAGAAGATATTTTGAAGAAGTATTTTTTAAAATCTTATCATATTTATTATATATACAAATTTTTTGTTCCTATTTATTGTTAGCTGTTATTTTTCTATTTCAATATTTATCAAATATCCTATTTTAAATTTCTAATTTGTTTTTTATCCTTTTATTTTTTATGGATTTCATATCTGATTCTTGATTATTAATTGCGATTGATTTTGACTATTATAATTAGTCAAGTGTGGTTGTCAATTAAAACAAAATAGATTTATTTAATTTAGAGTGTATTGAGATGAATTTAGAAAATGTAACTATTTTACTCAAAATAGATTGAGGAATAATTATTATGAAACATATGAGAAAAGATCCTATATAGGATAGATGTAATTTAATTTATGTCATTAAAAAGAAGTTTTTGAAATTAATTAATATTTAAAATAAAGAATAGTCGTAATGTTCGGATGTCATCTGTAAAATTAAATACCCGAGAGAGTTGAAAGAAGGGTTGTTCTTTAACTATCCGTCTGAAACATTATAGCCGTGATCCATTACAGCAGAGGTAAGATATGAATATTTAATTTGAAGAGAAAAGCTAATCAACACTTATTATGGATTTTGAACTACTTTGACTAAATCCCAAATCCTAAACCCTAACCCTAAACCTTACTTAAGAGTTAATTACTCGTAAATTAATTATATTATATTATAATTTTTCATGTTGTACTTGTTTAACACCTCTTTATCTTTATATATTTTCTCTGCCATCGTTACAACTTGTGGGGTACTATTACGCGGTTTTGTAAATGTATGATGAAAACACGAACTTGAGAACTACACTTACATTCTACCCCAATTTATTACTAATGTTTACATCTACCGAATGGGTCATTATAGTTTTTGTTGTTATACCTTGTTTGCCTTGGATAGTATCCCTGGATCTTATACTCAGTGCATTAGCTCAGTAATGGCAAGTGATGTATTATATATACAGCGATCGTGTTCCACGTTAATTCAACTTATTAGTGAAATAATCTAAGTAAGTAATGTATATAGTGATCATGTTACAACAATCACCTTTTTTTGTTTTGCGTTTGTTGTTTCTCCTCACTTAAAAGAAGATCGCGCTCAAAAAAAAAAAAAAAAAAAAAAAAAATCAAAGTAAAAAAAATGGTGTAAATCAGCTTGGCGGAGGAATGTTTGTCACTTATTCATACGAGCTTCCTATCTCCACCTTCTCTCTCATATTAATTTCCGTGCAAAAATACAAAAAAAAAATACACTGCATGCAAAGTTCATCCCTTACTCTTACAGATTTCTGAAAAAAAAAAAGTACTAAATTTATAAGTCTTAAGCTTTATTTATATTACTACAACTTTGAAATTCGATATCTCTCTTTTTTTTCTTTTGAAGGTTAATTACTTTGTTTCTAAAGAAAGAGAAGAAAAAATGGTGAAGCGTAGATGTAGACTTTGTTTTAGGAAGTTTGTAAGTAGGAGAGTTTTAGAAAGGCACATGAGGTCTCACACGCTTGATCAATCAGTGTCACACTTTTTACCATCGGGTGATTCAGAACACGTATTTGCGACTCATAATTATGATGAATTTTCGGTAGTTGAACCGATTGGGTCATTGTCACTTGTTACTCCAGAACATAGAGAAAGTGCGACGGAGTTATTTAGGAAGAAGAATCATCCTACTCGAAAACGAAGATCAAAGCGAATTCTTTGTATAGCGGCTTCTTCAACTTCGATCGATTATCGTCACTTTAATTGTCAACAACGACAATATTATGTCCGGGGTTGTGGGAAATCGAGTGTGGTTGATGTTGAATTGGACTTGCCAATTAGTTCGACCACGGAAGTTACTTCCGAGGAAGACTTAGCTTTCTGCCTTATGATGATGTCAAGAGACAAGTGGAATAGCTATGTTAGTGAGCGTTCTATAATAACAACGAAGAACAAGATGAAATACAAGTGTGTTACTGGGGGTAACAGAGCGAGTTATAAGAGAATTTGAGTTATGAATCCGAGCAAAGAGTTGATAACACTAACGAAGACGAAAATCAAGCGGATGACGGATTGGATTCGACGATGATTAAAAGGGTTTATGGATGTCCGATTTGTCAAAGAGTTTTTGCTGCTGGACAAGCTCTTGGTGGTCACAAAACGTCTCAAATTCTTGTTTCAAATAATGGGATTGTTCATAAGAATAACTCACGTGATAATAGTAAGATAACCAATATTACTACTCGTCAGGAATCGTTGCCGAAAGGCAAAGAGGGGGAGGTCATGAGCGTTCGTACCATAAAATCGAAGATGATAAAGAAGGTCTACGAATGTCCGATTTGTCTAAGAGGTTTTGCTTATGGACAAGCTTTTGGTGGTCATAAAAGGTCTCATCTTCTTGTTCCGGATAATGAGGTGGATCATATCAACAACTTATTTGATAATTGTAAGATAACCACTAATACTACTCGTCAAGAATCATTATCGCAAGACGAAGAGGGTAAGGTCATAAGCGTCCGTACTGTAAAGTCGATGATGATAAACAAGGTTTATGAGTGTCCGATTTGTCTAAGAGCTTTTGCTTCTGGATAAGCTCTTGGTGGTCACAAAAGGTCTCATTTTCTTGCTTCGAAAAATAAGGTTGATCATAACAACAACTTACTCGATAATAGTAAGATAGCTAAGAATACTACTCGTCACAATTTGATAGATCTTAAACTTCCCACCTATTTTGAAGATGAAGATGATTTAGCCGTTTCTGACGTTCATTTATGATCTAGAAGTTTAAAAAGTTAAAAGGTAATTTTTTTTTTTTTAAAGGAAAAAGATTAGTATTGTTTTGGGAGATCTAGTTAGTATTGAGAACAAAATCTAATTTGTTTATATCATACTTAAAATTTAGTAAATTCTAAAATTAGTTTTTCCATTTCCCCGAAAAAAAAAACAAAAAAAAATGTAAATATTGAAATTAGTTTTTCTATTTCCCTGAGTTTGAAAGAAATTTTTTTTAAAAAAAAAATTTGATTATTGGTCATAAACGACGTTGACTATTACAACCAGTCAAATGTTGTCGTCAGTTTAAAGAGTTGATATTTATTTATCTCATACCAGAATTAAGAATTTAATTAATGTTTAACTTTTTAAGTCAAAATAGATAGAGGAATATTATGTAACCTAAATTTCATTCATATTTGGCTTTAAATTAAATATGTCACGTGTAAACGTATTTAAAATATTTTGACAACATATAAGAGTTGTATATATATAGAGTTTTTCCTCAACCATAACATTCAAACATAGTTCGTGAATCTTAAAGATGTATAGTAACATGCCATGTCATACTGTTATCTTTGGAGATGCATGTAGACATAAAAAAAAAATATATTATGTATGATGTTTTTTTTTTCGTTTTTTATTTTTGTTTATTAATATCTCTATGAGTATTATTTTAGGTACTTCCAGAAGAATGGAATTTTCTGTCGTCTGAAGTTGGTACTACTGTGGAAGTCCTTCGAGGTCCTAATAGTCGTATATGGCATGTACAGTTAGTGTTAGTTAGTGAAGATACCAAAAGTATTATGTGTCTTGGTACAGGGTGGGCAAGTTTTGTTAATGAAAATGACTTGGTTGTTGGTGAAATGATGTTTATTTTATTATGCCGGTGATAGGACATTTTATGTTAGGGTTTTTTCTCCGGATATGGTTGAAAGATTCTAATATGGAACCTATGTTAAAAGTTCAGAATATTTGAATTTATGTAATTTTATATTTGAACTCGATGAATAAAGTTTTGTTAAAAGTAATTTTAAATTTAAATATGTATATAACATTGTTAAAATATTTTGTTGTATATATTTAAAATAAATGTTGGCTACTATTTTTTTTTTTGCCGAAGCTACTTATGGATACGGTTATCTTGAATGCATAAAGTTGTATATTTAAATAGTTAGCTTTGTCACCGGGTTCATTTGTATGAACGTTTGTAATTTTGGTCAGAAATTGTACTTTACAGTTGTTGAATTTCGGTAAAAGTTACTTGAAACGCTGAATCAACATGTTTCCGAGTGTAACGGTCTTGAGTCTTATATAATGATTAAAGCTTTGCCGAGGCCGACTGTAAGATTCTTTTGTCGATACGTTTATTGTTTTAATTAATATCTTGTTGATTGATATTAACTTTAATAAATTATTAGATAAAGTGGGAAGTTCTTCCCAAGATTGTCATCAACGACAAAGCAAACGCCAGCGTCTTTTGGGACGAACTTCAGTTGCTAAGAAAAATTATACAAAGGGTATGTATTATACTTTCAGACTATGATGATTGTTTAAACTGGTTAAGTTAACGTCCGAATACTGATGTAATATATTATGTGCTGTTATTTATTTGGTTTTTTTGGTCTTGTCTGGGTTTTGGTAGTTGTACCTCTTGCTGCATCAGGGCAAGCTCTACAAGATGGTCCTTTTATGCTTGATGATGCAGAGTCTTGTTTGCATTGTGCTGCAAAGAAATTCATGTACGAATCCCCACACTTTTGTTGCTGCAATGGACAAGTTGTGATTGCTGCTAATGAATTTCCTGATGAATTATGTCGTTTGTATATATCACAAGAAGAATATAATTTACTTCGGCTCACAAATTAAGTAATGGTGCTGAGTATGTGGTTGATGAATTATGGCTTTAAATTTATGATTAAAGGTTTGCCGAGGCCGAGTGTAAGATTCTTTTTGTTGATCAATATTTTAATCTTTTTTGCCGAGATGTACTGAATCATCCTTATTTCGGCCGACAACATTCAGTTGCCGGAATGTAGGCGAAGTTTTTCTCTTTAAGGTTTCTAAATCAAGGTAATCCAATGACCAACGGCATTAGCCGAGGTCCAAGCATAAACTTTTTTTTTGTCTTTTTTATTATAACATATATACCTTTTTTTTTCCGGTGGCCAACATGTAGTGGCCGAAGCATAGCCGTCGTTTCTTTCTGAAGGTTTCGGAATCAAGGTAATCCAGTGGCCGACGACATTAGCCGAGGTCTAAGCATCAATGATTCATAGTTGTAAGGCTGGAATTTTTTTTTTAGTTTTTTTTAGATACGGTAATTAGGTCTTTGTACAGCGTGTTTAATAAGAAATTTAAATTATAAATTATATTATTTCAAAACAGTTATTTAAAATATTATTTAAGTAAATAACACTAATTAAGGTAAATTGGACTCAGTAAAAGCAACTTTGAGCTGCTGAAACCAAAACGTTTCTGAGCTAAAGTGCCTTGGATAAATCGTGCCGTGCTGGGACACCTAATGATACATCCTAGCACACGTGGCAAGCGGGCTGGGTTATTACATGTCGCGGGGTAGTCTATTATTTTTACTATTAATTAATTAATTTATAATTTAAATTTCTTATATTAATAAATCAATTATTAATCTAAAAAAGGGGGAAACAACAATAATTATACTGCGTTGTAGCAGAATTTAGAAAGTTCTAGTTTCCATCTTATGTCATAAATAGGCTTAACTCTTGTAAGATTATTCATTCACAAATATCTTACAATGAAATTTCTTTGATTCTGTTTAAATAGTATAATTATATTATTTATAGTTCCTTATATTATCATGATTCTTTTAATTGTTTTTATCGCTTTTACTTTTATAATTTTTTTTAATTATCTTTATTATTATGAGTTGTTGGGGGTCAAAAGTTCGTGCCGCCCGCAAAAGAGCTGAATTTTAGGTATGTCGGCTGTGAATGGTATTAGATTAGTTTTGATTTTAGTTTAAATAGTAAAAGTAATGTATACAGTGATTGTGTTTCATGTTTGTTCAAATTATTAGTGAAATAATATAAGTAAGTAATATATATGGTTACTGTGTTACAATTATTACCCTTGTTTGTTTTTGTATTAGAATTATCCGTGAAATAATCTAAGAAAGTAATATATTATGGTTGAAAATTCTTCCTCGATATTATTACAGCACACAGCTTGCAGTCGTTGGGACCCAGAAAATGCAGCTGTAAACCGCCGAAATAAAAATATTTTCGAGTTCAAGTATTTTAGTTGTTATACAAAAGCTGAAGTTTTGAACTGCAGTTATGAGCTTTTTTGAACGGACGTCTAAAGCTTCATGTTGTGTCTAAAATATGATCTTCGACGCCGAGTTTTTTTCATCATTTTTCAGCTTAACGTCTTTAGTTGTCGTGGTGTCGATGAAGTAGTGCTAACATACGGAAGTAGGTATTTCGGATACAGATGTTACTTGTCTAGGATTGCGGTTGTTTAAAATTTGAAAGTAATGTATACTGTGTTTGTATTTCATGTTAATTCAACTGATTAGTGAAATAATGTAAGTAATGATTCAAAGTCCGATGGTAGTCGTTGAGGTTTAACTCATAACCATTCATTGTTAAAATGCTGGAGTAAAGTTTTTTTGGGTAGATTTGTTTAATTATTTGTTAATGGTATTTTTTGGTGATAAACTTCCGTCTACTCTGTAGTGATTTCTAATAACATTTACTGTTGTATGTGTTCTTAGAAAACTTACTATTAATTTAGATTCTCCAACAATCCTATGCTGGAGCAAAATGTTCTCGAAAACATTGTTTAAGAGACACTAACGTAAACAGTTTAAGACAAAATATAACTTCTAAACAAAGGTAAGCCATGGGAGAAGACAGGATTCCCAAGCAATTTGATTAATCTTATACCCCAGATTCTGGTTATATCATTGTTTTGGATCCTTCGTGGCAGCTTCATTACCTTCATTTGCACTCTGCTCTGCTGTTGTGAAACGGAGTATTTTTGGAGCTGTACTTTTGGCACAATCCAAGCTGCTCTTGGTGTCTCCAATGGGTGATGGAGTTACCGGAGAATGCTTGGTTCCACTCATGCGAGTACGGCAGAGCTCTGTCCATTCAACAGTTGAAATCTTTGAAGTGTTGACAATTTCAACATTGTCGATAGCATCATTACGGCTTCCATCTGATATAATAATACCTGTGAATAGAGACGTATACA